GAAGAAGATACCATCTAGGATTTTGATAGCTAGAGAGGAGAAATCAATGCCTGGCTTCAAAGTGTCAAAGGACAGGCTGACCCTCTTATTAGGAGCTAATGAAGCTGGTGACTTTAAGTTGAAACCAATGCTCGTTTACCACTCCAAAAATCCTGGGGTCCTTAAGAGTTATGCTATATCTACTATGACTGTGCTCTATAAACGGAAGAACAAAGTCTGGATGACAGCACATCTGTTTACAATATGGTTTACTGAATATTTTAAGCCCACTGTTGAGACCTACAGCTCAGAAAAAAAGATTCCTTTCAAAATATTACTGTTCATTAACAACGCACCTAGTCACCCAAGAGCTCTGTTGGAGATGTACAAGGAGATTAATGTTGTTTTCATGCCTGCTAAAACAATATCCATTCTGTAGCCCAAGGATCAAGGAGTAACTTTGACTTGGAAGTCTTATTATTTAAGAAATACATTTCATAAGGCTATAGCTGCCATAGATAGAGATTCCTCTGATGGATCTGGGCAAAGTAAACTGAAATCCTTCTGGAAAGGATTCACTATTCTAGATCCCATTAATAACATTTGTGATTCATGGGAGGAGGTCAAAATATCAACATTAGCAGGAGTCTGGAAGAAGCTGATTCCAACCCTCATGGATGACTTTGAGGGGTTGAAAATTTCAGTGGAGGAAGTAACAGCAGATGTGGTGGAACTAGCAAGAGAACTAGAATTAGAAGTGGAGCCTGAAGATGTGACTGAATTTCCGCAATCTCGTAACAAAAACTTTAACAGATGAGGGTTTGCTTCTTATGGATGAGCAAAGAAAGTGGTTTCTTGAGATAGAAACTACTCCTGGTGAAGATGCTATGAACATTGTTGAAATGACAACAAAGGATTTAGAATATTACATAAATTTAGTTGATAAAGCAGTGCAGGGTTTGAGAGGATTGACTCCAATTTTGAAAGAAATTCTACTATGGGTAAAATGCTATCAAACAACATCGTATGCTATAGAAAAATCTATCATGAAAGGAAGAGTCAATTGATGTGGCAAACTTCACTGTTGTCTTATTTTAAGAAATTGCCACAGCTACCCCATCCTTCAGCAACAACCACCCTGATCCACCAACAACCATCAACATCGAGGGAAGACCCTCCACCAGCAAAAAGGCTCAGATGATGATTAGTATTTTTTACCAATAAAGTATTTTTTAATTAAGGTATGTACATTGTCTTTTTAGACATAATTATATTGCATACTTAATAGACCACAATATAGTATAGCGTAAACATACTTTTATACACACTAGGAAATAAAAAAATTCATGTGGCTCAATTTATTGCGATATTTGCTTTATTGCAGTGGTCTGGAATCGAACCTTCAATATCTCCAAGATATGCCTATATAGAGAAATTTACATCTAGAAAATGGCTTACACAATTGTGGGGGCTGGGAAGTCCCAAATCCATGGGTCAGGAGGCAACTAGTGGCTTCGGCTGGCTCATGTGGTTGTGAGGTCTGGCAAATTCAATATCTGCATGTCTCGTGCAGGCTGAAGACTTATACACGCTTATGTCCCAAGAACGGGAGGTTAGGTGATGAGAAGAGTGCAGGGTGGAGAGAGTGAGCCTTGCCAGAACCTCCATTTATATACTGGAGGCAGGCCATACCCCCAAGGAAACTCTCCTTTCAACTGATTGGCAGATCACATCAGTTTGCAACATGGAAGGGATTACATTATATTACATTACGGAAGAGCAATGAGTCCAGTGTCTGCCAAACCACTGAGAATCATAGTCTAGCCAAGTTGACATATAACATTAACTATTATAGGTAGTTTGTCACACAGTAATTGATGACTGAATGGTCACCATTGCTAGTGCAACCAAGGCTGCAGTTTGATATCACACTGGCCTTGGAGTTGGGAGTCCTCACCCAGATACTTGTCTCCTGAGACCATGGTAGGACACAGGCTAGGAAGACCATTAATAAGTCCTGCTGCTGGAAGGGTTTCTCTGCATAACTGAATAGGGATATCTGACAGTAAAACGATGGTGGTCCACTTCATTCAGCCATAATCAAAATGCTTAAAACACAACTTTCCTTTAGAGGAGCTCAGTTCTGCTTATTTTACAGTTGGGTTCTGTTTACTCTGGTTAAAAGAGATGCTTGGTCTGCTCTCCCTCTGTGGATCCATCCTCCAGCTCGTCCCAGCCTGAGTGACAGGTGTTTAAATAAGGGCTGTTTCTCCTCTTCCAGGCTTTAAGACGTGTCGCAGCTGGCACAAATCACAGGAGCAAGAACCATGCTGGAGATTATGCTAGCCCAGAGTCAATATGGGATCATTTTTCTAAAAGTATCAAGTTCAGAACCAGAAAGGAGTTAATTATTCTAGAGCAGGGTTTCTCAGCTTCAGCGCTATTGACATTGTGAGGCAGATAATCCTTTGTTGTGGAGGACTGTCCTATACACTGTAGGATGTTGAGCAGCATTCCTGGCCTCTCCTCTCTAGATTCTAGTACACTCCATCTCAGTTGTAACAACTGCTCTAGAGTAATCTCAAAGACTTTACAAACAAGAAACATTCTAGGGCTGCCCTTAGGTACTCATAGATCATGAAGAAGGCGGCTACTAGAAAACTGAAATGCCCACTTTGCAACCCCAATGGGAACACCCAGAACACTAGCCATTGGGGCAGTAAGTACTGGAGTTAAACTAAAAAATAAAATTATACCAGGCTTTTTACGATTTTAAATTTAAGAGAATTCACTTCTTTTGTTCAAAAAGGCTGGAGGCACATTTCTTCTACTGTTTGTTATTTATCCACACAGCAGAAACAACGTGCGCTCGCGTGGATATGTTCTCTCCCTACTGATTAGATGAGCTGGCTGAAAGAAATGCCACTTCTGCTCTCAAACCTCTTTTGCAGCCATACTCCTCACTGTTCATAAGTTATCACACCTTCATTTCCTCCCTTTTCATATTTTTCACCTTTCTATAATTATCTCATAGAAGACATTTGCATTGATTTCTCTAACATCAGAGTTGATTGAGATTTGATTTAGGAACAGGAACTCTGGGATAATGTTTTCTTGGCTTTTGGACTAAGGCACCCACAAGAAGAGATGCTTGGATGCAATTTCCATTTCTGTGACAATAGTCAATTTAAGCAGAGAATGAAGCAACTTCAATCATGGCTTGCAATAAAAAAGTGCAACTCTAAATGGCTCATTGGCTGTTTTGTCTACCATTTTAAAGTCTTTAGCTTTAAAGGGGCAGAAAATTCAGAACTGAAGATACCTTCAGATGCTAAAACCCCTGCCACTCTTCCCCTCCCTCCCCCCTCCAAATCTGGGCTATGAATTGTATTATAGGTTAGTCCCACCTTGACGATAAGGAGAAGGCGTTTTGTATTATGGTGCCAATCATTGGCCAGGTTCACCATCTAGGGGATGAGTGTGCTATCCATAAGTGTGTTCTGATGTTGAATAACTGAGCTTCAAAAGGCCTTTGAAACTCTAGGGTAGCCAAAGGTAGTGGAAGGAATCAATGAAAGTATAGTGGGTTGAATAATGTCCCTTCAAAATTCATGTCCATCCAAAACCCCAGAATGTGACTTTATCTGGAAATAGGGTCTTTGCAGATGTAATTAGATAAGGATCTTAAGATGAAATCATCATGGGTTTAGGAAACCCCTTGCCATCAAATCAATTCCAACTCACAGTGACACTATCGCACAGAGCGGAACTGCCTCATAGGGTTTCCAAGGCTGTATTCTTTATGGAAGCAGTCTGCTACATCTTTCTCCTGTGGAGTGGCTGGTAGGTTCAAACTGCAGACCTTTTGGTTAGCAACAAAGCACTTGGTGGGCCCTAAATACAATGACTGGAGTTCTTTTAAAAGAAAGGAGGGGGAGATTTGAGACACAGAGTGTACAGGGGAGAAGGCCATGTGAAAATGGGGGCAGAGATTGGAGTTATACTTCCACAAGCCAAAGAAACCTGGAGCCACCTGGAAGAAGCAAGCAAGGACTCACCTCTAGAGCCTTCAGAGGGAATGCGGCCCTGCTCACACCCTGATTTTGGACTTCCAGCCTCCAGAATTGTGAGTGAATAAATGTTTATTGTCTTAATCCACAAAGTTTGTGGTAATTTGTTATGGAAGCCCTAGGAAACTAATATAGAGAGTTAGCAATGACCTGAGGGAGGCTTCACTGGCAAGGCGAACTCCTAGTAGTTCTGCCATCTGTGCACATGTTGAAAGGATAGACCTGACAACACACATTGGTAGTTCCACCTCAGATCCCTCTGAAAAACCTATATGTAACTCATTGGAAGCAGCAGTTAAGAAATCAAACGAGGTATCACATTGGGCAAATCTACTGCAAAAGACCTTTTTAAAGTGTTGAAAAGCAAAGATGTCACTTTGAGGACTAAAGTGCACCTGACCCAAGCTATGGTATTGTTAATTACTTCAAGTACAGGTGAAAGCTGGACAATGAATAAGAAAGACCAAAGAAGAATCAAAGCCTTTGAATTATGGTGTTAGTGAAGAATACTGAATATACCATGGACTGCCAGAAGAACAAACAAGTCTATCTTGGAAGAAGTACAGTCAGAATGCTCCTTGGAAGCAAGGATGGGGAGACTTTGTCTCAAGTACTTTGGGCACGTTATCAGGAGGGACCAGTCCCTGGAGAAGGACATCATGCTTGATAAAGTTTACAGGGTCAGTTAAAAAGAGGAAGACCCTTGATGAGATGGATTGACACAGTAGCTATAATAGGGGGCTCAAACATAGAAATGATTGTGAGGATGGCGCAGGTCCAGGCAGTGTTTCATTCTGTTGTACATAGGGTCACTATGAGTCAGAACTGACTTGATGGAACCTAACAACAACAACAACTCATTTCTCTGTCTAACTCAGAGAGGTCTGCCTTTCCCCTTCTCAGCTAGTCGTGGGCCTCAGAGTATTACAACACCTCCAGCTATGGACATACCTGTAGATGCCTTCCACCAGGATGAGAATCTTTTTCCAAGCTCTGTGGGTTCGTGGCTGGCCATAGATTACTGCTTCTCTCAGGAGCTTCTCTAGGTTTTCTATGTCTTTAAATAATAGCAAAAAAGAAAATGAGTTATGAGAGGGTTTTACTTTTTCTCTCCCATTTTCTTTCTCCATACAGCTTCAAATTTTTTAGGCTCAGGCTCAGACCTAAATTTTCAGAGAACCAAATCGCAACTAGAGAATACCTGGGGAGAAAGAGAGGTTAAGAGTTAGTAAAACTTAACTCTGTCAAGATGAATGCTTAGGTTTGTACTAGTAGGCAGAGTCAATCACACCAGAGGAACATAGTTTCATAAGCTTTAAAAGGCTCTTCTCTCTGAGATGCAAATCAAAACCACAATGAAACACCTCCCCTAGGATGTCTAAGATAAAAAAGAAAATAATAAACCTTGAAAGGATGTGGAGAAAATACTCATCCATTGCTGGTGGGAATGCAAAATGATGCAGCCACTGTGGAAAACATTTTGGCGGTTCCTCAAAAACTTAAACATAGAACTACCATATCGCCCAGCAATTTCACTCCTAGGTATATACCCAGAAGAAGTGAAAGCAGAAATGCAAATAGAAACCTATACACCAACGTTTATTGTAGCACTATTCACAATAACCATCAGGTTGTAACAATGTAAATGTCCATCAGCAGATGAATGGATAAACAAAATGTGGTATATACATACAATGGAATATTACTCAGTTATTAAGAGAAATAAAGTCCTTATACAGTCCCTGGAGAAGGACAACAGGCTTGGTAAAGTAGAGGGTCAGCGAAAAAGAGGAAGACCCTCAATGAGATGGATTGACACAGTGGCTGCAACAATTGGCTCAATCACAACAACGATTGTGAGAACGGCGTAGGACCAGGCAGTGTTTCATTCTGTTGTACATGGGGCCATTATGATTCAGAACCGACTCGATGGCGCCTAACAACAACAACACATGGATTAACCTTGAAAATATGCCAAGTGAAGTAAGCTAGTCACAAAAGAACAATTACTATATGATCTCATTTTTATAAAATAACAAATATAGGCCAATATATAGAAAACAAAGGTTATTTGTGGCTACCGGGGGTAGAAAGGAGGGGGAAAGGGGAACTCATTGCTTAGGAAGCAGTGAGCTTCTCTTTATGGTGATGGAAAATTTGGCAATGACTATGGGTGATGGTTGCACAACATGATTAATGTAACTGGCAACAACTGAAAAATGTTGAATCGGCCAAAAAAAAAAAAAAAAAAGACTCTTCTCTCCTGCTTTGGGGAGACTAAAATTCTACATTAGGTGCATCTCTTAGGCTTAGGCTTTGTTGCCTGGTTAAAATTAACTCTGGGAGATATAATTAACCCTCATCAATTTTTTAGCTAAGAGTGTGTTGGAGTTTAGCCATGTTTGCATGGAGATAGCATTGCTGGTAGTGGTCTCACTTCCTATGCTTTGAGACTTGATTTTCAACATACTCCTACCCCAAGAGATTTCAAGACTTTACGGAAGTAACTAGGTATATATTTTAGAGATCTAATAGTAAAGACATGAACAGACATATGCATACCTATGTTCACTGCAGCACTATTCACAGTAGAAAAAAAGATGGAAACTACCTAAGTGCCCATCAATGGATGAATGGATAAACAAAATGTGGTACATACATGCAGTGGAATACTACACAACCTAGAGAATATTGATGAGTTCTCATAACATATTATAATGTAGTTCAATCTGGAGGACATATGCTGAGTGAAATAAGTCAGTCACAAAAGGACAAATACTGTGTGTCTCACTTTTATAAAAAGACAGAATAGGTATACAAACACAGACTAATGTTCATTAGTGGTTACCAGAGATGGGAGCAGGAGAGGGAGAATCACTCTAGATAGTTGTCATAGGCTGGGTTCTCTAGAGAAGCAAAATCAGGTAAGTGTATGTATACATATACAACAATGGGCTCAAGCATAACAACAATTGTGAGGATGGCCCAGGACCAGGCAGTGTTTGTACACAAGGTCACTATGAGTTGGAATCAACTGCATGGCACCAAACAAGAACAACGATATACATATCTACATATCTACATATCTATCTCTCTATCTATCTCTCTATCTATAGAAAGGTTTATAGCATGGAAATGGCTCACATGGTTGTAGAGGCTGGTGTGTTGCAAGTCTGTGGTCAGGCATCAGGCTGGAGGCTTCTCCTGACTCACGTATCTTCAGGAGATGACAAACACAAGATCAGTATGTCAGACGGCAGGCTGCTGACTCACAGGATGTGGAGGCTGATGAATCCAAGATCAGCAGGTAAGGTGGCAAGTTGCTAGCTCAAGTTCCAAGAACCAGAAGTCAGATGATGATGAGTTGAATGCAGGATCCAGAGCAGAGCAAAAGCCAGTGAGCTTGGCCAGAAAGTCCATATATATCGGATGCAGGCCACACAACCAAGAAAATTCCCTTTTATCTGAATGGCTGCTCATAGCAGGTCTCATCATGGAGGTGATTACATTATATCAGATCTCATCATGGGATGAGTACATCATTATATAACTGCCAAACTACATCAGAACTGTCCAACTACTGAGAATCATGGCCCAGCCAAGTTGACACACAACCTTAACCATTGTAGTCCACCCCTTGTCAACTTGCCACCTGTACACATCTCCTTAAACCATACATATTTCAAAATAAAGACAATGATAAAGTCATCCTTGCATCTAATATGATAACAACTAGTATGCATACAACTGAAAATGCACTAGCCCTGTTTACATGTTATATTTTATAAGTGAAGGAAACAAAAATATTTAATGCACACATACAAAGCAGAAGTACTCATAACAATTATAGTATTCATTTCTGTAACTGGTCACGTGGTCGTAACTTGTATTTAGAACAACCTTCTTCCACCACCCTTTCCATATTCCCTTTGCCCTCAGCAAGTACCTCAGTTGGTCGTGGTTCTCTGCTTGGTGAGGACCCAAACCTTCATTCCTGAAGGATTTGGTCTATTAGTAGTCATGTTGGAATTGGGTTGCTGTAGTTTTCCACTGACTTTAATCACAAGGCATGGTAGTACTAAGAGATGCCCTAAAGGATCTCCTGCATTCCAGCCATACTCTTCTTTACCTTCATTATGTAGTGTCAATCTGGCTTCCTCTTGGTAATCAGGGTCAATTACAACAGCCAATATGGGAACTCCCTTCTTTGCCTGTTGATCCAGAGGCCTAAGGAGCCCAAAGTGGCCAGGTGGCATTCTTAGCTCCCAGTTCAATGGAATCAGTGATGTGTCTCCAGGTGCGAGCATTCCTCCCTTTGGAACTAAGACCTCTAGACCCACAGAGCATAAGGTAGTGGGGACAGGAAGCAAAAATTTTGTGAATGGTTCACTAGGAGTAATAGTAAGCAGTGCCACTCCCATTTCCACCCTTTGATTCCTGGGCTCATGAATCCTAGCTATGGGAGAAACAGGACTATATATTGGACTCTGATTTAGGGCATATATAGCGTCCTGGAGAACACTGACCCAACCCTGCAAGGTATTGCCTGCAAGGTATTGCCTCCTAGCCCGTGCCATAATTGTGTCTTTAGAAGGTCATTCCATCATTCTGTCAGTCCAACTGCTTCAGGATGATGGGGAACATAGTAAGACCAGTGAATTTCATGAGTGTGGGCCCATTGCCGCACTTAATTTGCTGTGAAGTGAGTCTCTTGATCTGAGGTGATGCTGGGTGGGATACCATGATGGTGGATAAGGCATTCTGTGAGTCCATGGACGGTAATTTTGGCAGAACCACTGCATGCAGGAAGGCAAATCCATATCCAGAATAATTGTCTATTCCAGTAAGAACAACATGCTGACCTTTCCATGATGAATGTGGTCCAATGTAATCAAACTGCCACCAGGTTTTTGGCTGATCACCTAGAGGAATGGTGCCATATCGAGGACTCAATGTTGGTCTCTGCTGCTGGCAGACTGGGCACTCAGCAGTGGCTGTAGCCAAGTTAGCCTTGGTGAGTGGAAGTCCATGTTGCTGACCCCATGCATAACCTCCATCCCTGCCACCATGGTCACTTTGTTCATGAGACCTTCGTGCAATGACAGGGGTGTCTGGGGAAAGAGGATGACTGATTTCTACAGAACGTGTCATCCTATCCACTTGATCATTAAAATCCTCCTCTGCTGAGGTCACCCTTTGATGAGCATTCACATGAGACACAGATATCTTTATTTCTTTGGCCCATTCAGAAAGGTCTGTCTATGTACCTCTTCCCCATACCTCCTTGTCTCTGATTTTCCAATCATGGTCCTTTCAAGTCCCTACCCATCCAGCCAAACCATTGACCAGTGCTCATGAATCAATATACAGTCACACATCTGGCCATTTCTTCTCCAAAGCAAAGTGAACAGCCTGGTGCACTGCTCAAAGTTCTGCCTATTGGGAGGATTTCCCTTCACTACTGTCCTTCAGAGAGTTCCCAGAAAAGGGTGTAGTGCTGCCACTGTCCACTTTCTAGTGGTGCCTGTATATTATGCAGAACGTCTGTAAACTAGGCCCGAGTTTTTTCTTGGTTAACTGATGACAAGGAACTCCTCATGAGGCCATAGGTGCAGACTGGGAGATGGAAGGTAATGTGACAGGAGTGGAGACCATGGGAATTTGGGCCACTTCCTCATGCAACTTACTTGTGCCTTCAGGTCATGCTTGAGCCCAATCTCGTTTATATCACTTCCATTTAATCATGGAGTACTGCTGTGTACGTCTGACTTTATGACTCTTTGGGTCAGACAACACTCAGTTCATGATGGGCAGCTCAGGCCTCATAGTGACTTGATGGCCCATGGTTAAGCATTCAGTCTTTACTAAGGCCCAGTCACAAGCTGAAAGCTGTTTCTCAGAAGGAGAGTAGTTATCTGCGGAGGATGGCAAGGCTTATCATAAGGGTCTCCACTGTGATTTACCAATAGGGGTCTGCCAAAGACTCCGAACAGTATCTCTATCTGCCACTGCCACTTCAAGTACCTTTGGATCAGCTGGATTATAAGGCCCAAGTGG